TTTTATTTGGGTCAACGGTTCTGAAAACAGTTGTGTAAAAAAAGAAATCAAGCTTAACAAAGCAAAAAAATATCCCATAGGTGAAACAACTTAATGACGTTCCGGACGTTAACGAAGGATCGCCTATATTTTTTTACTGTGTGTTAAATTTATATTTTTACTTAACTGTTTCTTTAGAAACACTGACACAGCTCACACTAGTTTACAGCTCACACTAGTTTACAGCTCGCACTAGTTTACAGCTCACACTAGTTTACAGCTCACACTAGTTTGAGTTTCCACGGTTTTGAAAAACAGGTGCAAAACACGAATGAATTCAGGAAAATAAGCGATTTAACACTAAATAGAAAGGGGACGAAAAAGTAAGAAAACAATCATTTCCCTTATACTCCCTGATATAATTTCCGCATGATTTCAAGAAAATCTATTKCAGGGTCAGGGTTGTTCCGGACAAGAGACCCGGACAATGAAAAATCATTTCAGCAGAGCTGACAATAATTCTGACTACAGAGTCACGTCTCTTTTTATTCAAAGTTAAGCATCATTTCAAAACCAAAATACATTATAGGGATGGTGAATGTAAATTTAGTGGACTCACATTAGTCGCAAGCCCCCGGTCGATTTTATGACATCACTCTTTCCCCACCCCACCCCGGTCAAAACAATGGGACGGCGATCGCATTTCCTTTGCGAGAGCCAACAGATCACCAAAAAGAACTGCAAAGTTTGACCTTTTGGTGACGGGACTGATAAATTTTCCAATTTGAGGCTTATGCATATCCGATAAGGTTTTGATCCGAATTCCACAGGAAATTTAGTTTTTAGACAATGCTTTTGGTTGACGTATCGTATGTGTGGGAATGCTGAGCAAGGAGATCGAGTTTGATGAAGTTTGGGCTTCACTGGCTGGTGAGTTACTGATTAAAGCTACCTTTGAGCATTATGACGATATCTAATGTCATTTATTTTTTCTTCCTTTTTCAAAAGCTCTGAACTACCCCTGACTCTAGAAAAGKGTGTTCCAAAGAACACTAAAATTATCGCGTTTATATCGAAGGCAAACGTGATAAGCGCCTTTCATGACAAGCTGACTGCCTACTTCTTCATGGGTCTTCACGTCTCCGATTTCTAAACATTTATTGATAAAATCATGGATGAGCAGTCAGTGATCTCTCCTTCTGGGTAAGTCCGTCAAAAGTTCTCTTAAAGTTCGTTTTCAGCACTACATATGTTAGCCAACAACGTCATCCATTTTGTGACTTTTAATAAGTTAAGTAGCTAAGTTCAAAGCATTTTTKTGAACAGACAGTTTTATGAAAACCTAACCTCAGATTTGACAACTATTTAATTAATTTACCTGTTAAGCTATTARGCTTACAACTCTTAGTTAGCACAGTCAAGACTTTTTAATATGTTTATTAAAGTACTTTAAAAGTCGTTTATTTTGAGTATATTAAAGTTACTTTTTGATGTCAATATTGAAATTCAACTTATAATTTATATACAAGTCATGTACTTCTGTTTACCAATAATTTATTTATAAACTTTAAGTTTCTTCGGGGAATTCTATACTGTTATTTTTTATTGTTATTTTTCACTAAAGGCTCAAGCTCTGAACTATTGTCATAATCCATGAAACTTACCAAGTAACTTAAAAAGTACAAATTAGCAATAACTTCTGCTAGTTGCTTTGTTTCCTATAATTGTCTAATTAAACACTATCTAGTAATATTTWCTACTCTTTTTATATATTCAAATATGCTTGAATACATGTAACTTTAAAAGAATCAAAATAACCGTAGAATGTTAATAAGGGATTTCTCTAAAATTACGTTTGTTAAAATTATTCACATATTGCAAACTGTTCTGATATTGGTCTGATATTCACAATGCAAAAGGTGGTCTTAGCCAATCATGTTAATCCAAATAACTGTCATGTGGTACTTGGAGGGTTTGAATTTTTGTTTTGTAAGCAAAAGCCATGAGTAATGCACTTAAACCATAGGAGTCTGTTGTGATCTGTGTTTTTAACAGACACTATCACATTATGATAATGAAGATAATAAAAATAATAATAATGTGATGGTTATAAATAAGCCTTTGTTTGTGTGATAATATGGAAGAAGTTTATGTGATAAAAAGTAACCATGCATGATCTAAACTGAACAGCAAATAACCACAACATGAATATCTGTTTTGTGGTTTTATTGAATGATGTGATAGTCAGCAAGGTGYTATCTCTATAAAATTATCATTTCAACTGTAGCCTTGTAGCTGTGTGCATTGGGTACTTCACTTTGTTGTTTATTCATGTAGTCAGTCATTGTAATAATTAAATTAGCATGTTGATATGAAAGTGAAAGGAAGCATAACTAGTTTGTTATCAGATTCTTGTGGTTATCACTGAAGTCTGTGTTTGTAGTCTCAGGAGTCCTGCAAGGTATATTGTCATCCATGACTTTCAAGCCTCAAAAACCGATGAAATWGATCTTTCTAAGGTTAGTTTATCTTTATGTTCTTATGTTTTGAAGCTTTCAGCTTCAGATTGAATGTTTTTGGTTCGCTTGCATGTGAATAGTGACGGCTAGCAGGGATCAGCGCATGCTTTATTGTGTTAATCTTTGCTGCAGTTAAAAGTATYCATTAGAACTTAAATCACAACGTATCTACAAGATTTTCCAAATAGTTTACCAAACTATTTCCTATAAATTCTACATATTTTGTAGACTTCTATTTGCTGCATTCTTTTGTTGGTTCAAGCTGATACTATCATAAACACACGTAGCAATGCAAATAAAGTTTAATTAGTTTTGTATTCTTCTACATGCCATTTTTTTGAGATGTTCACTTTTCAATTGTATTCGAAAATATATTTTATTCGTCATTATTTATRGTATTAATCTTTAACCACAGTCACTGCTTGAAGTGGAAGCTGTTTACTATTTTAACAAGCCTGAAATGCACATAACTTTTGATCTGCTTGAGACTATTACCACAATAACTAGAAATCACATTTTAGAAATAATTTATGTTGTATGATTTCTTCTCTTAAATGTTATTCAAAATAATATATTGTATTTAATATTAATAACCAATGTTGTGTTTTAGTTGATTTATCAACTACTAGATGATTGATATTATTATTGTTGGGCATTTGTTCAATAACAAAGGCATGGATAATTAAATGAATAATTGTGTAAATTTACACATTTAATGAGAGTAAT